CCTCTCTATTAGTAGATAGAGAAATTTTTAAAGGCAAGTACAGTTTTCAAAGCAAGGCAGAAGAATTTATTAATCTCCCGCCTTGATAACCTTTCTCATCTTAGCGTCTAACACAGTAAATAACAACACAAATAAACTGCATCTCTTTTTAATGATCTTGTTCATGAATGCAGTTTGTAGTGTGACAACTTCCAATAACAACTTTTAAATAACTTAAACCGCTACGTTTTAAATACTACCGTCTTCTAGATTAGCTTACTTTTTACCAACATCCAACGATACTCAATTTCGTCGACATTTTAATAAATTAGTGAGGTCTATCTATGAAGACATTTAAATACCCTCATTCATTATTATTATTATTCTATTTCATTTTAAGCTCGTTTTGTTTTACTTCAGGTTAATCTAAATTCAGTTTTCTGTAACGCGCCACTTTTAGGGAAAAAATTTAAAGGACAAATTTCTTCTCAAATTGTGTGAAAGTTATTTCGTCAACAATCGAGATGTTTCTACATCAAAAAGTATATTTTTCTAATGTAACTATTTGTTAACGCAGAAACGACTAAAACTTGATAAAGCTGAGCCTCCCAGAATAGATCAACGTGTAACTTCTCCTACACATTGCGATACATAATCTAGCGAACAGGTCTTGAGATTATAGAAGCCCATCATCTAGGGAGGGTTGTCTTGTTTAACACCAAATTGTCTTGAGTAACTTATGAGAAAATATACTACAGTCAGAAGGAAGATTAACGAATCAGATTTTGTGAGTTAATGTTGTGTTAATGAAATATGTGAATGAAATAAATGTTAACTACAAAGTCCCAGCCTCTTCAACCATCTAATCATTGTTCGCGCCACCATTTTTTGGTTTTCCTGTGGCGTCTTCGCCGTTGCTTTTGTCATCTTTGCCTTTGTCATCTTCGCCTTTGCCTATGTCATCATTATAGGCCTCAGTAAACTTTTCGTCGATAAAACTCTCCACCATGAGTTGAATCTCTTCCTCTTCTGGGCATTCCAGCTCGCTTAAAATCTGCCTGATATCTTCCACCGCCTTAGAAGTTGAGCCTCTTTGAAGCTCTAAAGACGATTTCACTAGTAAAGTGATGTCCAAAGGTAGAAGAGCCGCGCTTACTATTGAACCGGCCACGTGTGCAACGCGTGTTCCTGCCAAAGCCGCGCTTCGCGCCAAAGTTCCCGCGGTAGCGAACGCTGAGGCCGAGACTGACGCCGCGGACGAAAAAACCCGGAAGAATCTGGCGCCGAATTCCACTTTCTCTTCGGGAGAAGTCGCGAATTCACTTGAGGCTAGATTTTGAAGGAATGTAAAACCACTGCCTTCTAATTCTCTTTTTAACTGTGCATCGTCGTGAAGAGGTTTCAGAAACTCTGCTAGGTCGTAGATGAAGTTCTCAAGAGTTTCCAACTTTTCTTGCAGTTGCGCACAAGCTTCCCTGTCCACATCAATGGCTTCTTGTACTTCTTTTAATCCTAACTTCGTGAGAATTATCTCAACTACTTTGGAACCAGACATCACCAGACCTCCCGTGCCTCCAATCCCGGCGCCAACGAGTGAGACTACGAGCCCGGCTCCGAAGGTGAAGGGTGCAGCGATGAGGCCCGCAATTGAAAGGACTCCTCCCACAGTACCCAAGGACGCCCCTGTGACGGTTGATATATTTACATTTCTATGATGTTCGTGAAGTTTTGTGGCCAACTCTTGCAGTTGGTCTCTGGTGTTTTTCCTCTTTGGTATCCATTCCACGAAAGCCTTATGTAGGTCTTCTCGTCGCTGGCGTAATTCTTCGAATTTTTTAGTGATTTCGTTCACAACGAATGATTCTGACGGTTCCGGGAGAGTGGCATCATCTTCATCTGTTTCATTAGATGAGGAACTACTGTAAAACAAACATTCCAATAAATTTTTTGTTTTCTTGAAATAAGTATCTTCTGCGAAGTTATAAAAATATCTGTACGTACAGTTCAGAGCGACTTTGACTTTATTTTCTGTAATTTAAGGTGGCACTGGATCGCCAGCACAGACTTATAAAACTTGGTATTAAGATGAATCCCTCTTTTGAGAAATTGATTGCAACTCAGTGATAAAAAAATTGATGATATCGAACTTGCACATAGAGCTAAATTTAGGGACAATTTTAGAAGCTGTGTTTTTGCCTCTTTTACCTAATTGTCTTTTTAATGATAACAATATGTTGCGAAATAGTTATACTTTCTTTTGACAACGCTTTCAAGGGAACACGCCACAAAGTGTAAGATAAGTGATCTAACACAGCATTGGTGTTAAACATTAATAAAAACAAATCTTAGCCATCTTCAGTCGCTGTGTGCTGACCTGTGAATCATCTTTTGTACTAAGTACAAGGCTGCTTTACTTGGAGCAGCGAGCAAGGCTTGGTGTAATAAACAGATGTGCCATCATGTTTTGATGAGATGATTGCGTGACTGATTATTGTAAAACGCATAAATTACATTCAAGACCGAAAGCGGAAAAACTATTTTCTCTTTACTCTGCAAATTTCAACTGGAAGAGCAAAGTACATAGCGAAAACAAAACAAAATATACTTGTTCCCTTACTAAATTGTCTATAAATAATAGTAAAATGAAATTTTTAAAGAGGAAAATTATATTTCACCTTCGCGTCGCTGTTAATGTTATCGTCGGAATTGAAAACAATCAAAATGGCGAGAAATATGTTTTTCGCCTTGTCACGCGCGTGGGACAACACTTCTGAGTCCCCATAAGGAATCGAACCTCAGTCCTCAGGGGGGAATCAGAATTTTTTTCTTTGTCCCACGCTCGTGACGAGACGGAAAACATCTTACTCTATTTCTTTACCGAGCTCAAAACTTACCATCTTACCAACTGATATTGGAGACTTATTCTAAAAGATCTCCTCTAATAAACTATCCGTTTATCTTCTGATTTTCAGTTCTATATCCAGTCCTAGGCGATATCCATAAACATTTGATTTCCCTTAAAAAATCTCTTCTAATCTTAATTTTCAAGCTGTATCAGTCGCGGTGCTTGCAATTCCACAAGAATAGCATGCTTTCAATGCTACTTTTATTTAAATCTACCTTACTTACTCCTAAATTCACTCGACCGATGAAAGACCACTTAACTTTGCGTATAAATTATCCAAACCACATCGAAATTATGTTCACTCTAGCTCCAAACAAAAATATAGCCTTCCATTTTAAAGCATTAAACTACTGTTAAAACAAACCTTTGTCCGTCGTTATCGGGTATTTTTTCCAGCTCAAAACTCATTCTGTCGATAAATAACTCGATCTCAAACACGACATATCTATTTGAGCGAAATTGTTCACAGAAAGACTTGCCGCGTGTGCACAATTCCTCGAAATTCTGCCGCTGGACTGGAATCTATAGACAACCGATTAAGGTAACGTAATATCGTTCAGAGATAAGATAAGTCCTCGTCGCTTTCTTGCTTTCCGTAAAGATCAACGCAATTTCCTTACGACTCTTCTTATATCGTACTCGCCGAGTTGGAGCGTGCGCGAATGAGCTTGCTATTGTCACGTCAACAGTTTCGTGAGGGTCATGGCCTAAAAATATGGCGTGACGGGTAACCTTGTTTGCACTCAGCGATTCTAAAAACTGATAGTCTCCTTGGAGGAGTCGTAACCGAATTATAGCAGGGTAAAGTACTATTTTTATTGTTATACTGGAAGAGAGGGAGAATGAGTATTTTTAAAGCTAAGTTCTGAGATAACTATGACAGAGGTTGCGACGAGTTGGCGAAACTGAAGATTTTTAACAAGGAAAAAAAGAGCTCAGCACCTGCATTTTCGCAATTGCCCGGCCGTCTAATGCAAATCAAGAGGCGTCTTTTAAGCAGCGGTAGACCCTAGTAGTCGGTTGTTCAAGGTTATCCTTTCTTGCAATCCTTCTCTGTCATTCTACGCTTAAGTTTATCGATTCCATCGAAGGTGAATAGCCAGAATATTTCTAACAGCAATCGATAGCGTTACACTACAACATGGGCAGCCTTAGGTGCAGCACTATGTTCCAAACAAATTGAAGGGAAAAAAAGCTTATTTTAACATAGCTTTCACTCAGCTATATGGGGTAACAGTGATTTAAACTAGAAAAAATATTTCAAGACTCAAAGAGTTTGAACATTTTTATTACCAAGAAAATGGCTAAACTACAAACCTAAGCGATCAAATCTGTTGCATGGATGTTATTGATCCAGTATTAACACAATCAATCAACAAACACTGGGAATGTCATAGAGGAAAAGTATGCTCCAAACACCATGTAAGTTTATTTCCACCATCAAAAAGTGTATATGAACTTATGACACTGATCACATTAAGAGATTCTGAAGAGTAAACTTAACTTTTAAAGTTGATTCCTACAGTGCTCAAATTTGACCACAAAAACTGCCATTTTGAATCCAGCTTAGCAAACTGGCCGCTTAAAAAATTCCAAATTCTCACTTTTCTTTCTCTCCCATCTCTTGCAAATCTATCTTAATCTTTTTACCCCTCAGAGTGACTTACACCTAATTTCTCCATGAAAACTCAAGCCTGAATCAAACCACAAAGGTCACCAGACTAAAGGAAATTATCACCAACCAAAGAAGCTCTTGACTGATAAACAAATTCTCCTTGTCTGCACACATGCAAAGAGATGTATTCCGAACAATATAGAGCATTTGCATACTGATGTTAGGGACAGTCATGGGTTAACAATTCAGTGATATGCACACACAAAAAACCATTCTTGACTAAACTAAAGATTTTTCTTTGGAATAAGCAGAGCAGCTGTTTGTGAATTAACAGTGTGGTCTCTAGTTCCTGACAGAGTTACCAAGTTGTTTTCAAAATGGTAGTACAGTAGTAATTGAAGGTATAACACTACTGTCAAAAGTTTTGCACATTTGAAGATAACTTCCTAAGATTAAGTTACTCTAAAATGGAATTTCAAAATAAGATTGGTAGTTAATTTTTAAATCATACTTATCAATGGCAGAGATAAAAATTATGGTTTCCACAGCATATTTCTCCATTAAGTGATAAATTCTACCAAGACAAAGTTGTTGTTGTTGTTGTTTTTTTTTTTACAATGTTATTCAGTGTATGTACAATTAAGACTTTTTGCTCTCCTCTGCTTTGGTTTTCTCCTCTTTCTCTTTGTCTTGTGAATTCTTATCTTTAGTGTCCTTATCCTTAATCTCTTTACTTTTCTCTTCTTTCTTGCTGGCTTCATCTCTCTCTGCATCCCTGTTGGCAACTTTATTATTGATAAGGTTATGGAGAGCAATTACTGCACGAACAAGGGAAGCTACATACACCACCAACATCTGATCATTGGTTTTTACCGAGAGTGATTTGATAAACTCTTCCAGACTCAGATTTGGTAGTAAATTGAACACATCTTGTAACTGATATATGATCGTGTGATTGACAGGTAGTTTGCCAGTTGCGACTTTATCCAAATAATCTCTGATGTCTTGGAGACGTGAGTTGAGACCTTTCAGAGACAATAGCTGGTTGGTGATACGTTGGGACAGTGTTCCTGCAGTAAGATTCTTGATATCCCTGAGAAAGTAAACACACAATTATCCATGTATTAACCAATAATAACTGAAAATGACATAATTTTTTTCAGCCCTTAAACTGATACCCTACATGTAAATCTCATTATGTAACTTTCCTTACTGTCTTCCATACTGTTCATTTGATTTTCGTTCAGAGAATTTGGTACTAGATCAACTAATAATCCACGAATTTTTATTTTTCTTTAATCTAATCACTTGTCTGCTTGAAATTGTGTTAATGGTATGCAGAGAATTTTGGTCTTGGTCACTCAAGAAAGCTTAAGGGTCAAACAGAGTAAGAAATGTAATGTTTCATCCAACACTTTGATGAAGAAAACAACGCCACGTGGGACAATAACCTGTTACCTTAGTAAATGCTCAACTCCGACCTCTTCTGCTTCTTCTGCCCCTATTTCACTCGCAATGTGCTCAAATGTTTTTGTTGTGGGTGTTCCATCCTAATAATGTTTAATACAGAAATAAAAGTTATGTGAGTCGTGAGAGCTTTAATGTTAGCAGATGCCACACCAAATTTTCCAAACTTGCCACTGAAAAGATTTCAATCTTGAGATTGCAAGGTTGTAAAACTTACATCATGTACTTCTTCGACAGCAACATATGCATCTGTAGGTAAACCAAGATCTTTAGGCTTTGCATCAATAATCACGAGGACCTGATGGGAGATGACACATACAGATGATGTGAAAAAATAAAATTGGAGAAGCAGTGGCCACAAGTATTTGTTAGTGTGTTGGACTTTGTGTCGAGAGGTTGAAGTTCAAATTCTGCCTGAGGCATTGTGTTCTTGGGCAAAACACTTGGCCCTTTTACTCCCAAAGGTGATTAACAGGTAACTTCTCCCCATAATATCCATACATTACACAGCAAACAGGTAATGAGAAACTCAAACTTGTCAGGTAGAGTTTGTCCTCTTGATCTACCTCCAAATTCTTGTAACAAATTTAAAAGAGAATGTATAATACCTAAAGGAGAGAACTGACTTTGGGATTTATAGGGTTAACTTTCACAGTGTCTCTCTTCAGCTAGGAGTACAAATAGGTACTGGAAAATTGTCAGGGAAGCCTGATGAAATGCTGGGGAGTAAACTTGTGGTGGACTAGCATCTCAGCTCAGGGTCAGAGGAACAATACTTCTTAGTCATTTAATGCTAAGGAAACCACAATAAGCTGCACCTAAAGGGGCCACTTGGTTGAAGAACAAACTTTTTCTTCTTGCACATGAATTTACATTACTTTACATTAGGATGTCAAGAAAAAGAAAGAAAAAAAATACATTAGTTAGAAAATAAAGGAGGTAATGAAAACAAAAAATAAGTAAGGAAATTAATAAAAAAAAAGGGGAAGCTCCAGTGCTAGCATCTAGTACAAACTTGATCTACCTTTTTCACCAAAAATACATGGGCTGAATCACCCATTGACAAAAGGTTGTCAGAGGAGTGAATAAGGAGCTCCTCAGTGAAAGACTGACACACTACACAGCGCAAGACTATATGAGACCAATATCAGTGCAAGATTTGAAATATATAATACTTACTGAGTTGGAGCAGTATCTTCTGATCAACTCATTCACTTTGACATCATTGTGGTGTAACTTAGGTCCTGTGTGATACCAGCCAACAATCCTTTCACGTGCTTTGAACATTGAAAAACAAACAAACATGCAAACAAGGTTAACAAAAAGTAAAGAACAGTAAACATAAAAGTTACAAGTTACTGAACTCAAAACAGGCAAACAATAACTCTGAACATATGGTACGCTTTGACTTAATTATGTAATTAATGTTACATTGTTATAGACTTGAGGTGATCAAAGAGAAGGCCAGAGTTTGTACCCGGAAACAAATTTCAAGAACTTTTCTGAGACTCTTGTAGGATTAAGATTGTCTGTTCCAGGACTCTACATTTCACCTTGTCCCTTTAGCTCCCAGGAACTCATGAGTAATTTTTCTTTACTGTCTGCTGAGTAGTTATTGTGATGTTAGTTTGGAGAATTTGGTATTGGATCACTAATAATCCCCTAATCAAGATTTTTTCTTTATTCCCATCACTTTTCTGCTTGATAGTGTTCATATTGTAAAGAGAAATTCTCTCTTGGTCACTCATGGAAGTTTAAGGGTTAAAACCATTCATTACCTAAATTTCAAATCAATTTTCCTTATAGGCTGTATGTCTTTTTTATAGCATTAATCCTGAAAACTCTATTGCTTGTGTTAAGCCAAGTTCCAGGACTTTCCAAGATCTATAGTCTTTTTCCAGGACTTTCCAGTTCTATAAAATTTCAGTATAAAATTCTAGGACTCTCTAGGTTTTCCAGGACTCCTACAAACCCTTGAGGGCAACTAATTAAATAAAGAAACACAAACTGTAACCTCTTGCCCCATCTTAGATTCCCATCATTTTAATATAATTCACCAAAGGTTCAATGCAACAGGACTTCACCTCAGGAAACTCAGACAGCAGTCTGTTGAGTTAACCATTTACACCTTAATATCAGTATGCATATCAGGGCATGAAATTAACTTTTTTTTCTGATAGCCACTTGGCTCCTAAATTCTTCAAAGTGGTAGCCAATTCAAAAAAAGTTGGTCGCCATTTTGAAAGACAAACAAAATCTTTCTTTACACTGTCAGCGTTCTAGATAGACCCTCCAAAATTAAGATAGGGAAAAGATCTTTAATGTGCTACAAAGTGGACACTAGGATGGATGATATACAACGTTCAGGCTCATCTAAATCCAAGATGGTGTCTAGTTATCGATTGAGATGCCTGTGCTACGTTTTGGAAACAAACTTAATGAGGAAGTTTGCCGCGGATTTATCTTTGCAAATTTTTTAAATTCACTATATCTCTTGGTAAGGTTATGATGAAATGTTCTAGTCGCCAATTTGGCGACTAACTTTCAGGATTTGGTCACCAAAG